ATAGAGAGTCGGCTTGGGGACTGAAAGATCCCGGGTTCGATTCCGGTCAAGGGCATGTACCTTGGTTGCAGGCATGTCCCCGTGGGTGCTGTGCAAGAGGCAGCTGATCGATGACTCTCTCTCATTGATGTTTCCAACTCTCTATCTCTCTCTCTTCCTCTCTGTACAAAATCAATAAAATATATTTAAATTAAAAAAAAATAAAGTCTCTGGACTAACACTAAATCAAGAACTTATTCTTTGTGGAGACATAACCCCAAAATGGCTCTAATCACAGCGTAAGCTAACATTTCATAGCTAAAGTCATAGTCACAAAACACCCAAGATAGTTACTGAGTAGAATTTTGTCTTTTCTAGAAGTCATACTATTGAAACTCCCTCAAATTTGAATAAATGATATAACACTAAGAGCATCCTTAATTTCCCATACTTAAAAAAATGAGTTCCAAATTCAACTTCAGGTTGTCCCCTTCCTTTGGAGGCAGATAGGATAAGCCAGTGGTCGGCAAACTGTGGCTTGCGAGCCACATGCGGCTTTTTGACTCCTTGAGTGTGGCTCTTCCACAAAATATGTGCAGGCGCACACGTACAGTGTGATTGAAACTTCGTGGCCCATACATAGAAGTCGGTTTTTGGCTCTCAAAAGAAATTTCAATCGTCGTACTGTTCATATTTGGCTCTGTTGACTAATGAGTTTGCTGACCACTGGGATAAGCAATCACTGCTACACAGCAACCAACCATGCTTTTCAGCACCAGGACAGTGGATTTGCTGAAACAATCTACCAAGTCGAAACACAAGCTTTCCAGTGAATTCTGAATGATTTTTGATTACTTTGAACATGCCCATCTGGCTCCTGAACTGGTTCTAGCAGGGGCACATTTGTTTAATGGGAAGCAATAGATCTCCAAAACAAGCTAGGAAAAGAAATTTATAAAATGTGGAAACTGATATAGCCAGCATAAAGAATTTACAGGTAACTTTATCTTTCCTTTCCAACTTTGGGAAAGACCCAAAAATTATCCTACCATGGGACTTGAAAGATTAAAAGTAAGAGGTACAAAATAGTAAAATGGACTCTTACTGTAACTGCCTGGAAATCCTCATCATGGGGTACTTTTTTTTTTTTTTTAATACATTTTATTGATTTTTTACAGAGAGGAAGGGAGAGAGATAGAGAGCTAGAAACGTGGATGAAAGAGAAACATCGACCAGCTGCCTCCTGCACACCTCCTACCGGGGATGTGCCCGCAACCAACGTACATGCCCTTGACCGGAATCGAACCTGGGACCTTTCAGTCCACAGGCCGACGCCCTATCCACTGAGCCAAACCAGCTTCGGCATCATGGGGTACTTTGAATATTAGGGTTTTTTTTGTTTTTTTAAAAAATATATATATATATTTTATTGATTTTGTACAGAGAGGAAGAGAGATAGAGTTAGAAACATCGATGAGAGAGTCATCGATCAGCCGCCTCTTGCACACCCCCTACTGGGGATATGCCCGCAACCAAGGTACATGCACTTGACCAGAATCGAACCCGGGTCCTTTCAGTCCCCAAGCCGACGCTCTATCCATTGAGCCAAACCGGTTTCAGCTGAATATTAGGTTTTTAATATGAGACCATAATTCCTATGAAACTAATCAGTGGAAAGCCTGAGTGTCGTGAAAAATGCTCGTCTTCTTCAATACTTATGGCCACAGCTTTCCTCCCAAACGTTCCTCCTCCTGCCAACTCTGGAGAGAAGAGAAGTTATTCATGTGAATATTACTTACCAAATCCTACGTGAACTTCTAACAATATGAGCTACTTGTTAACCATCAATGGCTATTTACTTGCCAAGATTATACAGAGTACTTGTAATTGGAGCACTAGATGCTCATCACAATATCTAGGGAAAAATAGAAGTCTTTTGTAGTTAGCACCAAAGAATTCATCTGGCTGCAAGAGCAGATTCTATCAGGCATCTTGAGTGTTATTATTTATAAAACAGATGACAGTATTGTGTTTGGGGCAGTGAAATTAAATCCCATACCAAAGTGGGCCAAGAGCAGGTGTCAGCCTGGGACAGATGTCAACAGCAGGGACAAAACAAAAAGAACAGTCATATAACCCTTTGGACATATTTGGAACTATAATAAACTGCAAATATAAATTCTGGATTGTTAATTATCATTTAGGACTATGCTGTCCAATGCAATAATCACTAGCCACATATGGCTATTTAAGTTTAAGTTAATTAAAATTAAAAAATTAAAAAGTAAATAAAATTCAGGTCCTCAGTAAAATTAACCACATTTCAATAACCACATGTGGCCCATCATAGCTGTGTTGGACACACAGAGAACATTTCCATCACTGCAGAAAGTTCTATTGGACAGACTCGATACAGCACTTAAAACTTTTCCAGTATATGTGGGGTTTTTTGGGGGTGAGGGGAACGCCAAAATTTTTCTATGGAAACCCATATTTATCAGTGTTTTCTGATCACCTCATATACTATAACACAAATGATTAAAATATGTTTACCATCACAGCTCTCCACTCTACTGATACACATAATTCAACCAATTAAAATGTGTTGGCAGGATCAAATAACCAGGACAAGAGAAAAACAAATACGGAAATACTAACTCTTTATCCAAACATATTGTTTCTCTTATGAATGCATGCCCCAAATCAGGCCAACGCCATTTCTGAGCCCCACCTGTCACCTATTCTCATCAACTATTACTATATTTTTTTAAACAAAGTTAGTTTCATATTAGTAGCAAATACAAATAAATTTATGTAATGACTCTGACCTGTGCCAGAGTCAATAAAATCGCTACCAGAAATGCTGAGAAAACCACGAAAGCACCAGAGTTGAACAACATGACTAAATAAGAATAATGATGATGATAATAATATATAAAAAGACTTGTGCAAGTTAAGACAACCAGATCTAATAACATTATTGATTAAAAAAAAAATCAACTGTATAAATTCCACAATCTAGACTTTTTATTTCACATTTGCTTTTTCTCTGTGTTCTGATCAAACATGAATCTTCCAAAAGTACTATTTTAAATACATCTTATTACATTACTAGGTGATATGATTCTTTTCTTGATTCTTTATCTGATTTTCGAGGGTGTATGACCAATGAAATCACACTTAAAAAGCGGTACATGATGGCAATTCACCGGAATAAAAACAAATAATTCAATGAAGATGGCAAATACTTAACTAAGAATATAGTTTTCACAAGTAGTGGGCAGATCATAGTTTATAACCATAGATACTAGTTGTACATAAAAATCATGAGCCTGAGACGTGATAGCAAATATACACATTCTGATTAAAAATCAACCGCTGAGCACTCTTCTGGGCCACGGAAGAGTCATGAACTGCACAGGCGGCATAAAGCTCGCTGTGGAGTGCGGTCTTTATCCTCTCCACATAGCTTGTGTTGACAAAGGTGACTTAAAATTTTCCCCTCAAAACCAACTGTTGGGAGATATTATAATTAAATAAGGAACTGAACTCCCAATAAGTTATAGTAATCAAAATGTGGTTTGTCCCTTATCTCAATTCCTTTTTGAAAATGTCTCTTTCTGTTACTACCTGCAAAGTATTAACAGACTTTAATGCTCAAGAGTCATTGGTTAAACTAGGGGTGTCGAACTCAATCAGAGAAGGGGCCAAAATCTAAAATCCAGCCTAAATCGCGGGCTGAATGGTTTACTGAACAGTCATAAACTGTCATTGTGATGGAAACGCAGCGGAGTGCAGTGATGACAGCGCGGTGCAGGCCACATTGCAAGGCCTGGTGGGACGATTTGGCCCGCGGGCCTTGTGTTTGACACATGTGGGTTAAACAAACAAGAATGGTGAAGACCTGGGAGGGGCGGTTGGGTAGAGAAGGGGTCAATGGGGAGAAACAAACAAACAGACAGACAGACAGACAGACAGACAGGACATCTGTAATACTTTCAACAATAAAGATAAATTTAAAAAATAAAAGAATCCTTAGTCTATTCAGCATTTAAGCTGGGAAACATGTATGAGACCAAACATCCTGGTGGCCACAGCACCAAGGCCACAGGGCTTGGAAGGAAACAGTTTTATTCTGAGCAGAGTGCAAAGACAATGCAGCACTTCGCAGCTACATTGTAACTAGATCCTGCTTCTATTTATTAAGGAAATAATTAGATATTAACAGTGTCTTAATCTGTTAATATTGGGGAAGAGCCCTCTTATCACATCAGAAACTGAAATTCCTGACACATATTTTTCTCAGAAGCCAGTCTCGCCCTAGCCAGTTTGGCTCAGTGGATAGAGCACTGGCCCGAGGATTGAAGGGTCCTGGGTTCGATTCTGGTCAAGGGCTTTTACCTGGTTTGCAAGCTTGATCCTGGGCCCTGCTGGGGGAGAGGGTGGCAATCAATTGATGTCTTTTTCTCCTTTCCATTCTCTCTAAAATCAATGAAAAAATATCCTCTGGTGAGGATTAACAAAACAAAACAAAACAAAAAAAGAAGCCTATCTACTTTTGCCCCATGTTCTAAAAGAGAACAGCCTATGTACTTGCTGGTCTCTCATAACTCACAAAGAACATACAATTTCCTTCCCTACAGTATTTTAGAGGAAAATCTGAGTTCATCTCAAAGTCACAATAAAAAGCCATTTGATTTCTCTCATCCCTACCATTGGAAGAGACCAGTTAGAAATTCATTCTGTTAATTTTGCCTAAATACAGATATTATTGTGTCTAATCTACAAATAAAATACCCTGGACTTAAAAAAAAAAAAAAATCCTGTGGAGGCCGGCTGGTGTTGCTCAGTGGGTGACCTGTGAACCAGGAGGTCATGGTTTGATTCCCAGTCAGGGCACATACCAGGGTTGTGGCTTGATCTCCAATGGGGGGTGTGCAGGAGGCAACCAATCAATTATTGTCTTTCATCACTGATGTTCTCTCTCTCCCTCTCATTCTCCCTTCCTCTCTGAAATCAATACAAATATATTTTTAAAATCCTGGCTATAATTCTTAAATATGTTAATTAGAATAACATTACCCTCTTTCAAAACTATTATAAAATGTTGAACCTTTTAAGGGTTAATTCTTCCTTCTTCAGCAGAATTTGAAATGGATCTCATGAACTGATGACTTGCAACAGATGGACTGGCATCAGGTAGAAAGCAGCGCAACCTTAAAAAGAGACCATAATTAATTATGTTGACACATTAATTAAGCAGGTATAATAGTTTTCATAAATAATACTTAGAGAAAAAAATGTTTGAGACCAAGCGTCCCTGTCTTACTACGGAAATGAGTCAGACAGAGATTGTAGGAAACACTTACTCTCAGCAGGGGAAGGGACAATATAGCACTTCACAGCTATATTGTAACAATTAACCCAACCTGCCAGCTACAGAAAAATCATGTCATACCTCAATACTTGTAATGAATTTCTGGTAAATCTCATGGATTTGATCTTTCCTCTCTTGGCTCAACATATTTATTTGCTTCATCCAAAAACAAGCATCTTGATCCATTTTGGAAAATTAAAAAATAAGTCTTACTTACGTGTGGGTTGTGCATAGAGCCTTCCTTCCAAAGATTATGGTATGGAACAGGCAGGCAAGAGGAATGTTACAGTGGAGAAACCTCACAAATAATACCTAAACCAGGTGATTAAACCCTTGATGTAATGAGAAAATGGCATTTTAACTCTGTGGTCTTCCTCTCCAAAATCCCTAACCCAAATCTAACCTTAAGAAAAACATCAGGCCCTAACCAGTTTGGCTCAGTTAATAGAGCGTTGGCCTGCGGACTGAAGGGTTCCAGGTTCAATTCCAGTCAACGGCATGTACCTTGGTTGCCGGCACATCTCCAGTAGGGTGTGTGCAGGAGGCAGCTGAATTGATGTTTCTCTCTCATTGATATTTCTAACTCTCTATCCCTCTCCTTCCCCCTCCTCTCTGTAAAAAATCAATAAAATATATTTAAAAAAAAGAGAAAAATAGCAAATTTCAAATGTAGGGCATTCTAAAACTATCAGACCAATACTCCTCAAAACTGTCAAGGTAATCAACCCAGCTGAGATGCTGGAACACAAAGACATTAGGTAAAAATCAAGGAAATCTAAATAAACTCTGGACTTTGGTTCAAGATAATGTACCAATGTTGGTTTATTAATTTTAACAAATGTACCCTACTAATGCAAGATGTTAATACGCATAATTGGGTGCAGGGTATATGGAAACTTTCTGTACTGTTGTCTCAATGTGTCTGCAACTCTAACACCATTCTGAAAAAAATAAAGTCTATTAAAGAAAAGTCTTGCCAGATGGCGAGGCTCAGTGGTTGAGCACTGACCTATGAACTAGAAAGTCACAGTTTGATTCCCGGTCAGGGCATACCCGGGTTTCGGGATCAATTTCCAGTGTAGGGTGTGCAGGAGGCATCCAATCAATGATTCTCTCTCTCTTTCCCCCTCTTCCTTCCTCTCTGAAATCAATAATAATATATTAAAAAAGTCTTAGTATCACCTCTAGATATTCATGCATGGCAATTGGCTTAAACAATTAGGCTAATTATTTTTCTTTACCATATCCCACATATTATGGTTTAAAAATGCCCTAGGAAAAACATGGTAATACTTACAAAGATATCCTCTAAAGTCTCCTGTTCTCCCTGGAGTACCAATAACCAGTATGTGCTGGGATAGTCTGCATTTTTGCATTTCATTTTTGAACACCAATTCCACATAGCAGACATGACAAGTTTTCCCCAGACAGTATTCGAGAGCCAGTTACCTTTTGGACCTAAAAGTACAAAGCTTTAAGATATTATGTTGCAGAAATAAAGGCTCCATCAAATGATTTCCGAAGCACATGGCTAACTGCCAAAATGTTCATATTTAGTTTAAAATTCTGGTCTGCAAACAGCTTTTATACAGCACAACACAGAATCACTTCCAAATTTACAACTAATCAAACTGCTGCATGACAGAATCCTTTTAAGTGTCTCATTTTAAATTAGACTTTTGTGCCTTTTCAAACTTGGGATCGTGTTTCTTAACGATAAAGCATCAAAACGAACATTTCCTATATTATTCTTCTATGTGTAAAACATGTAAATAGTAAACAAGCTCTGTTTACAGCTCCAAGGCAAGATGTTCTATATACACTGAGTGGCCAGAGTATTATGATCCCTGAACGCATAATACTCTGACCACTCAGTGAACTTACGTACGTATAAGGGAAAGCGTACAAATCTCGATATGTCAAGGGACCAGGAGATAGTGGCCCCCAGTCTCTGGCTAGTAAATTCTCTGCTTCTTTCTAACTACCCACAATGCAGTTCTTATACATGGAAAAATCTTATTTTAAAATTCCAACTCTGTGGTCAGTCTACACTGAGTGGCCAGATTATTATGCGTTCAGAGATCATAATAGCCTGGCCTCTCAGTGTATATTCACTGATTACCATTCACTTTAAAAATAAGTATCTTTTCAATAGGAAACTGGGACTATACAGCCTTGATCTAAACAAAGCCTACAACTTTGTTGGGGCCCAGGGCAGGCCACCCCAAAATATTCCACCTGGCATATTGATTACTTTGAATTAAAGTTACTTGACAAGCAGCTGGTGCAAGAAGGGCCCGTTGTTCCTGGCTTGTTGCCCTGAATGCAGGAAATACAGCTCTGCAGTTAGAGGGGCACTCCTTGCTGCAGGGAAGCTGAGGGAGACACCCTCACTAGAGGTAAGGAATCATGGGCCAAAAAGCTTATATAAACAAACCATGTTACTACTTCACTAACTACCCAAGCCCAAACTCTCTAAGGAGCACCCCAACCTAAGAGTATTTATCTTCTCACTTCTTAAAAAATGTAGTCTAAAAAAAGTAAAAAAAGCTGGCAGGTTCATTTTTCAGAGCAACTTTACAGTGCAGAGTCCTCACAGATATTACCTCAGCCAGGTGATCAAGGTCAATACCAACAGTCAACCCTGGTTGTAATGAGATCCCTGTGATGGGGAGAGGGAAAGGAGTCAGAGCATAGACTTTGATGGAAGTTGGATGGGCAGATTTCCTGGCAGGAAGCTGAGCTCAGGTATTCTGTTTTTCTCAATAACATTGAGATCATTTGTTGAGAATGGCATGTAGGAAATATCAGGGTTTTGAAAAGAGTGAAGAGGATTTGATACAGCAGTTGCATAAAATGGAAGAATGAAAGCCCAGGTGAAGTTGACTACCATGAAATAATTTTTTTTTTTTTTTTTTTTTTTTTACCAAATCTTCCCAGTGTACAGTTTCTCCAGCTCTTCTAGGAGGTTTGTTGTAGGCACAAAGAAGACATATAGTTGGATTCATATGGTTGAAGTTTTCTCTGGTGGATAATATCTAATAATCACTAATATCTAATAAATCTTGGGGGTGAGGGAACAGGTTTTTGTTAGTTATGATATTACAAATAAACCAAGGGCTAGATATGTTAAGGGGTTTGTTTATGATCACTTGGGTAATAAAGAGTGGCTGCAAAAATTAGAACTTGAATCTTCAAAATTACAAATTTCTTTCTAGGTGGTGAAAATGTTTTGTAGTTTTTTGGAGAGACAAAAAAAAGAGAAAAGTTCCCAAGAGGAATTTCAGGGAATAGTTTAGAAGTAAACTACATTAACACTGTACACACTGAAGATATAAAACAATATACAAAAACATAAAAATTTTAAAAGCTTGGCCTCTAGTTTTTAAAATATACTCAGTATACCTCATTGAAAACAGCCACTGACTCTACACCCATTTTCTGACTTCATCCATAACCCTGTTGTTATTTTTGATGCTGGTAATGTTTCTTCCTACTTACATAAAACACAATAAAAATGAAACTATATAAAAATTATACATGAGGAGCAATGAAAGATACAGATATATAAATATTTTTTATATTATCCTAGCTTATAGATAAAATTGTTATATTATAGACTAAAGTATCTGCTTTAATTATTATTAGATAGAATGCTTCTTTTCACTGAAGTTCAAGATATCCGTAATATCCTTAATTGCTTGGCTTTTTCAACTTAAAATTTAAAAATGTAATGATTACCTAATGATTTATGCCAAAGACTCACACTTATTAAAAGTCCAATTACAATGGCTAATAACAGGTAAAATGACTTTTAATGTCCCAGACAATGGACAAGGATTTAATACAACAATCCCATGAAGTGGAAATTGTCATCTCTATTGTAAAGAAGGGGTAACTAAGGCCCAGTGAGATTATATAATTTGCCTACTGCCTTCAAAGTGCTGGAGCAGGGCTTTGAACCCAGGTGTGTCCCAATCCACAATCAGGGCTTCAGCTTCTATAGTATAGAATCTATACACTATGCTACTTTAGCCCTACCTTTACAGTGATGTATGGATCTCTTGCAACACATATGAATATAACCTTCCCCACTGACATCAAAGCCAAAGGCTATGTCATTGTGATTTAATATATAAATATATACATTTTCAAAAACATATGGTAAATAACTATTCTTTGGCTGTTTAATACAGTTACTTCTTCCCCCAAAATATGAAGTAAATGCCACAGCGGGGAATTTTAATATAAAACAACTCTACGGCCCTTCTGAACGGTAAAGTAGCTTTTGTTAACTAGATTCATTCCGACAATGAGGAAGAATTCCCTCGGAGTCTTTCTTTGAACTGCACCCTGAAGAAGGACAGCAGAACTGAAATGGGCTTTGAAGACTCAGGTTTCACCAGAGCATGGATGAGCACCACAGTCCCCACACAGGGAAGGCACCTCTGTAAATGGTTAGGATGCGTCCAAGTGTCATTCTTGCCTGGGGTTGCCAGGTACAAAATGAGGACGCCCGGTTAAATTCCTGACAAAGAACACTATTTTATATTTTAATTTCATTTTATACCGGGGATATATTTATGCTAAAAGATTATTTGCTGCTCATCTGAAATGTAACTTTAAAGAGCATCCTGTATTTTTATTGCTAAAGTTGGCAACCAACCTATGGTGCGGAGCGCATAAAAGATGGCAGGCCCAGCGCCATTCTCCCCAACTCGTAAAAGGAGAAACTGAGGCCAAGGGCAGGCTGGAGGGTGGCCGGTGGGGAGGGGAAGAAAGGGAAGGGCTGGCTGTAGGAGGGCTCCCTCCCGCAGGTGGATTGGAAGCAGACCTCCCTGACTTGCAGATTCTTTCCTCTCCTCCTCCTCCTCCTCCCCTCCCACCCTCGGGTACCCGCGCATCTCTCATCGCTAAAGGGGGCCAAACAACTCAGGCAGAAACCCTACCTCCCCGTATGGTCCCCCTTAATCCCCCTCCCTCCCCCACACACACCCGTTACCTCGGCCGCAGCGGCAGCAGCAGCGGCGGCGGGCTCGGGACACGCTGCCGCCGGGTCCGCTCAGTCGCCACCAGGAGCACGGACATCACCTAGGCGGCCGCCATACCCCTGGATCCCAGCCGCCGGTAGAAGCGCAGCTCAGAAGTCCGCCTAAGTCCGTCCCTCCATCCCGCACAGGAGCCTCTTGTCCAACTCTGGCCACCGTCCAGGTCTGCGCCGAGAAACAGGCCAATCCGAGCGAGGCATCCGAGAGGGCGCGTCGCCGCTCGAACCAATCAGAGGGCCGAGCAGGTTCCGTGGCGCTCGGCCAATCGGGCGGCGCGCCCGTCGTGTGCGGTCCCCGCCTCCTCAGCTGGGCTCCTGCTTCAGCCTCCTCAGCACGGTGGGTGCTGGTCCCTTCTTCCTGCGGTCTGTGGGTTCTTGCTCTCTCTTGGGCTCCACGGCGAGGAACCCTCATCACCTTTCATCTTTAGACCGCTAAGCACAAAGGGAAGCTGTCGTAGAATATAAGAGTGTGGTATAAGAATACAAACTTTTGTGTTTTCAAGAATGTGAAAAACATTATTTTTAAAAATTCTTTAATCATCTCAAAAACAAAATTACAGAATTTTAAGAAAAATTTTCTATAATGTTATTTAAAAAAAAACCCTGGGATATAATTGGTATATAATGTTGTGTAAATTTAAGGTGTACATATATAATGGATTTATTTTATTGAGATATTTATGGAGAGCAGTAAGATTATCACTATAGCCATAGCTAACACCTCTATCGTGTCACAGATTTATTCATTTTTTTGTGTGTGGTAAGAATGTTCAAGATTTAATCTCTTAGCAACTTTGAAGTACCTGTATATAATACAGTGTTGTTGACTATGATCATTATGCAGTACATTAGATCTCCAGAACTTATTCAACTTCTAGTTGCATGTTTGTGGACTTTATTTTTTTTTAACCTTTTTTGTAGAAAGTATTACATATTGGACTTAATTTTTTAAATAGAAGTTTTAGGTTCACAGCACAATTGTTCATCAGTTTATGTTGATCATTATATAATGAGTGAGATCATGTGATATTTATCTTTCTCCTACTGACTTATTTTGCTTAGCATAATGCTCTCCAGTTCCATCCGTGTTCTTGCAAATGGTAAAAGTTCCTTCTTTTTTATAGTGGTGTAGTATTCCATTGTGTAGATATACCATAGTTTTTAAAAAATATATATTTTATTTTTATTTTTTTACAGAGAGGAAGGGAGAGGAATAGAGAGTTAGAAACATCAATGGGAGAGAAACATCGATCAGCTGCCTCCTGCACACCTCCTACAAGGGCAGCAACCAAGGTACATGCCCTTGACCGGAATCGAACCTGGGACCTTTCAGTCTGCAGGCCTATGCTCTCTCCATTGAGTTAAACCGGTTAGGGCCAGGGACCATAGCTTTTTAATCCGCTCATCTGCTGATGGGCACTTAGGTTGTTTCCAAATCTTAGCTATTGTAAATTGTGCTGCTATGAACCTAGGGGTGCGCATATTCTTTCTGATTGGTGTTTCTGGTTTCTTGGGATATAGTACAGGAAGTGGGGTTTCTGGGTCAAATGAGAGTACCATTTTTAACTTTTTGAGGAAACTCCATACTGTTCTTCACAGTGGCTACACCAGTCTGCATTCCCACCAGCAGTGTATGAAGGTTCCTTTTTCTCCACATCCTCGCCAGCACTTGCCATTTGATTTGTTGATGATAGCCATTCTGACAGATGTGAGATGGTATCTCATTGTTGTTTTGATTCAGGTGACTTTTTCACTTATTGGACTAACCTATCCAGTTATTGGTGTAGTAGGTGGCATGTGGTGTTACCTTCTCAGACAAGGATCACTGTCTCATCCTGCATATTAGAACAGTTGGGCTCACAACTCAGGGTTATCCTACCAGTATTTACCTCATTTATTCTCTTTGGTAGTTGAAATTACAGACAATGGCACCTCATCTCTAAAACTTCAGTATATATCTCTAAGAGAATAAGGACATTTTCTTACATAACTATATACTATACCATACTTTCCAAATACAAATCTCCCCAATTTGGACCAGTTTTGGGGGGGGGAAAGAAAAGAAAAGGAAGAAATAGAATAGTAAGTATTTCAGGGTTTCAGATGTAATAAGGAAAAAATTGTTCCATACAACTTTTGTTTTAATTACATGTATGTATGTCTACTGTGTCATGATATAAAAGTTGTATCACACTGTGGCGTGCAGTCTAAGAAATCTGAAGAGCCCTGCTGTAGGCCAGTGGTGCCCTAGGACCAGCAGCATCAGTATTCCTGGGACTTGTTAGACATGCAGATTCTCAGGTCTCATCCCGCACGACTGAATCAGAATCTCTGGAAATGGGATTAGGAACCTGGGATTTTAAAAAATCACCTGGACCGTGATTCTGCTAGTTGAGAACCACTGACCTAGACTAAGTGAGGTGGCCCCAGTGGTGCCTCAGGCATCCCTCATCCTCATATATGACACCCAAGAAGGGGAGGGTCCTTTGTCTTTTTCTTCATTGTCAGAGGCAGTGCTGATAGTCCACTAACAGGGAGGTGGAGTCTACGTTGACAGTGTTTGGAGGATGGTTTCTCTTTGCAAACTCAGATGAACCCTTACCTGAAAGAAGAGAATGGTTTAGATTCAGAAGATGCAGTTTGTACCAGCAGCATCTGTAAAATGAGACTAAATCCCTTTCAGGGTTATCATGAGGCTTAAATGATGTTTGTGAAATACCTACCATTATAATAAGCACAGAGCTGTCCCTGTCATATAGCGGTGGTAGTTGCTGTACTAGACACTGCCTATCACAACTCTGGGCATATAATTGATGTTCAATAGATGTGGCTAATGGTTGGTAATTAATTAATTGGAGAGGGGGGTGGGCTATTCTGGCTTGTTCCTTAACTTTGCCTTATTTTAGAGGAGGGATATAGACCACAAGTAGGAAGGAGAAAAGGAAGCGAGGAAGGCAGGAGGGCAGAAAAGGAGAGACCAGGGCATGTCCACATTTATAAGAGCAATGGAGATAATGACCATCTCTTGGAGGAATGAGTTATGAGCTATTGAAAGCTCTGAGCTCATTTCTTTTTACAGGATCTCAGAGCTGGAGAAGGGAACTTTTAGATCATAGATGACACCCCCCCACACTCACAAACACCATGACTGAGGTGAAGCAGCAGATCAGGCCCTGTGTTAGAGATGTGGGACAGACTGGTTTCTTTCTTTTTTTAAATATATTTTTATTGATTTCAGAGAGGAAGGGAAAGGGAGAGATAGATAGAAACATCAATGATGAGAAAATCATTGGTCAACTGCTTCCTGCATGCTGGGGATTGAGACTGCATCCGGGGCACGTGCCCTGTCCAGGAGTCGAACCGTGACCTCCTGGTTCAGAGGTCCATGCTCAACCACTGGGCCACACCAGCCAGGCCAGAATAGGTTTCTGAGGATAGGCACTGCCTACTACATCTTGCCATAAATTCAGCCAATTCATTTCCATGGGAACCTTTGAAGATTTGTGAAGGTACAGGTGTGGGAAAGGACAGCAGCACAGAGTGTGATTTATTCTGTCTCTTTTTGCTTTCATTCCCATTCATAAGCTTCTCCTGCCTCTCTTTCCTCTCTCAATTCCCCCTCTCCCTTCTTTTCATGATTCTCACCCTAAGGGCGTTACCTAATCCAGGAAGCTGAGGATCTGCAAAGTCCAGAATGTTTCACATCATCAGTCTCCTAGGCATAGTCTCCTGGTTTCTAATGATCTAAACTCACAATTGGCTTTGACTGGGCACCAGGGTTCTGATTACTATCAATAGGAAACATCTCCTTTATTTCCCCCCCAAAACTTGTGACCCTTGAATAGGGTCAGAAACCACCATGGAAACACAATCCAGAGCTGTTTACACCTTTGGGTCTTTAACCCCTTTCTGAGTTTCTTGCAAAAGGCTGCTATTTAAACATGGTTGTTCTACGTGTGCAGGCCGAGTGCAAACCTGCTAGAAGGGAGACGGGCAGAACCTCTGCCCACAGCTCATGTTACAGGTGGACTAACATCACCTCTTAACCACAGCCCTCAGTTGTTGCAGAAAGCATTTAAAAATGCCCTCAAGCCCCTGGGATGAGTGGCTACTACTAGAAAGAAACTGGATCTGTGGGGTGGGTGGCACGGAGCAGCAGGTCCTGTGGCCATCTCCGCCCTCTGCCCCTCCGCCCAGACCAAGCATCCCCACCTCGACCCTCAGGAGGTGGCATCGGTGACCAGAAGGCCCAGGACCGAAACTCCATGGTGTTTGGAGTAGGGATTTATTTATTTAACTAGAGGCCCGGTGCATGAAATTCATTCACTGGCGGCGGTTGTCCCTCAGTCCAACCTGCACCCTCGCCAATCTGGGACCCCTCAGAGGATGTCTGACTACTGGTTTAGGCCTGATCCCTAAAGTGGCAATTGGACATCCTCTCACAATCCAGGACTGCTGGCTCCCAACCCTTGCCTACCTGCCTGCTCCTAACTGCTTCTGCCTGCCAGCTTGATCACCCCCTAACCACTCCCCTGCCAGCCTGATAGACGCCTAACTGCTCCCCTGCTGGCCATCTTGTGACCACATGGGGGCAGCCATCTAGTCTGAGGGCATGATGGTCAATTTGCAGACTATCTCTTTATTATATAGAATTATTACATAGGATACTAGAGTCCCAGTGCATGAAATTAGTGCACAGATAGGGTCCCTAGGCCTGGCAGCAATCAGGGCATATCTGGGCCTTCCTTTCCCTGGCTGCCGGCTGGGGCCTGCCTTCATTCTGCCCCTCATAGTTAGTGGTGGAACTCCTGGTTGGTCAAACTCTGGAGGGGGTAATTTGCATGTTAGCCTTTTATTATATAGGACATATATTGTTTAGTATGAAGTGGAGGGGTGAGTTTTCTGGCATTTTCAGAACACATGGGTGGCAACCGGATATTCATAGTCCCCAGTTGGGGTATTGAGGGACCACCATCTAACCAGATTGGGTTGCGTAGGCTCACCTCCCCCTACACCCCCACTCCTGCAGACTCTGCTCACTGGGATTGTTTTTTCCTTCCTGCCGAGCAGCCTCTGGAGCCGCCTAAGGAAGCCCCAGGACAGAGTCTCCACCCGACAGCTGCTCCTCCGAGAAGCGATGGGGAAAGATGGGGAAGGATGGGAGAGGATGGGAAAGAAGGGGGAGGAGGGCCGCCTGGGTGCGGTGCCAGGCCTGTGCGGGATGGAGCGCTGGCGCCTGGCAGCGGGCAGATGGCGCAGCAGCGCACGCACAGCCGCACAGAGGGAAAGGCCAGTGCGGTGGAGACGGGTCCCCCACCCGCGTGCCCAGCCCTGTCTGGGCTCCAAACACAGGGATGTCCCGTGGGCGCTGTGACTGCGTGAGAGAACCGCTAACTGAGACGGGAGAACACACGCCAACCGCTCCCACCCCTCCGCAGCAGCCCGAGCCGGCTGCAGGCCATCCCCGCCCCCCTTCCCGGCTCCTGGGGGCCGGCCCGCCCTCCCAGGCAGCGCCTCCTCACCTCGCTTCCCCGCAGACAGCGGAGGACGGAGGGGCGGGCAGGGAGGGCGCAGACTGGCCCCGAAGCTGAGGCAGGGCCAGCGCCCAGGCTGCCGCCGCCTCTCCCCGCGCGAGACCGGGCTGCGCCCCGGCGCCCGCACCCTCCCCGCGCCGCCCACGCCCACCCCGCGCCTCCCCGCGCCGCCCGCGGGGGAAGGTGGGCGCCGAGGTGGGCAGGGCCAGGCGCGCGGCCGGGCTGGGGTAGGCGGCGCGGGGCGGCGGGTCCCGGGACCACCTCCGCCCTCCGCCCCCCGTCCTCGCCCCCCCAGGCTCCGCTGCCCCCGAGAGCGCACCGTGCATCCCCACCTCCACCCTCCCGAGGGGGCGCCGGCGACCCGACGGCCCAGGCCCGCAAGCCCAGCGCCCGCTTCGCTCCTGGGGCCCGGAGACCCGTGGCGCAGTTGCAGGGAGATCGGAGCGACTTGCTCTTCCTCAGCTCCGGAGCTGCCATTCCCGCTCTTCGAGCCAGACAGACAGACGTCACGCCGGGGAAGCTCCCGACTTCACCTTAAAAATAATCCTCCGAGAGGTGGCCTGGCCGGCGGGGACTCTGGTTTGTGCCTGAAGAGAGCGAGGAGGAGGAGGAGCGCAGAGCATCCTCCGGAGGAGATGCCCTTTGAAAACCATCCGGAGCAGCAGAAGAAACAGGCATTTGGCGAAATGTTATCTGGGGTAAAAGAAGACATGGCTCCCCAGGAGCTCACCCGGCGACTGGCCACAGTGACCACTCACGTAGGTTAGTGAAGTTTCCCCCCCCCCCCCCTTTCCCCTTGCATTTTATGAATGAAGGGGGGGGGGGGGGAGTAGGCTGGGGTCTCCTCTCCCCCTGCCCTCACCAGGGGCGGCGCCCTCCCTGCGAAGGCCGTGGGGCCCCTGCCCTGCACCTGGGCCTCGCTGCTGCGTGGGGCGGCCCGTGACAGGCGTCCCTGGAGATTGTCCAGTCTGTTGGGTCTTAAACCCCGAGGTCTACTGAGCTGTTGAGCATCCATTACCGGCTACTGGCCAGGGGCGGGGATGGGGACTAGTGTCGTAGTTTACCAGGTAAATGGGAACAGGAGGGAGGGATGCAGGTGTTTCCAGCAGAAACTGCCGCCAAACCACTGGAGGCTTGTCGTGAAATTTGGGTTCTTTCCCCACCCCTTCCCTAGACCCACCCAGGATGAGAGCCTTTGGACGGGAGTGACTAGAATATCGGATCATTTTCTCCCCGTGCTCACTTCACTTGGAGATCCTTCCTTCCATGAATGCTAATCAGTTTCCACTGTAGCATCTGGGAAGTTTTTGCCTGTGTCCCGCCCATTTGTTAGAACTGCCTTCTTGGTGATTACCTGTGAAATCTTAATTGAATGAGTGAGTCATCATTGCTCTTTGAGGGCCCAGAGCGGTGTGTTCAAGCACAAGAATGATGTACATCTTGAATGATACATATGTGGGGATATACTTTGTGAAGATGGTTTATATGGAAAGGCCCAGTTTTGATGATTCTGTTTTCAAAAATGTGTCTGGTGCCAAATGTGGCCACTGAATTGTTTGTTGTTGTTGTTTGTTTTTTGTTTGTTTGTTTTTTCTTTAAGAGAAAAGGTCAGTAGAGTCCTGACAAGGAGGGCTGAATGTGAAATATTGCTGAGGCAGGATGAAATAAGGAGAAAAATACCTTCTAATAAAAGAGAATTTGACATTTGCAAGATATTGAGTGCTGAAATGACTGTGCCAAATACCAGCCCGGGCATGAAATTGTGGTGTAGAGAAAGATCAGTGGTTTGGGGGTATGACCTGTTGGATTTGAGTCCTCCCCTGGATAAGCCATTGAATGTCAGGCTGAAAAATGGGAGGTTTAATCATTCTTCCTTACTCACTCCACAGCTATTTGTAAGATAATATGGGTAAAAAATACCATCTACACTGTGAATGTGTTATTGATCATATCTCTGAGCCCTGTGCCACTAACCATCTTGGGCAGGTCACTGGGCCTGGAGAGAGAGGGACCTGGATGATTTTGATAGACAGACTACGTATTACTCACAGGGGGCTTCCAGTCAGTGGGAAGTCTTAGTCATCTAGCTGATTGGTGTGAGCAATCTCCCCTTCAGGTTTCAAATTTCAAGTCCAGTTCACTCTCTCAGGTTATTCTTTCATATTAGAAGTAACGATTTTGATCTTACTCTATTATTGTTCTAAAATAACTTATGTGTTTGGCTATACCCAATTAAACTGTGAGGCAGAAAGGAATAGCCTTTGAGACATTTCTTGTATAGTAATTGGAGATTAGGATTGGTGGCTCTTTTGGTGACAAACTCACTACTTTTAGGATGAAACTGGCATTGGTAATATGCAACCAGAAAAAAGAGCAAACTGAGAAATTAAGCCCATGACTCATTATTCTACAATGAAATAATGACTGAAATGGCCAGGATCCTCAGCTGTTGGTGCTGTAGGCGGGATCTAATTAGAGTATTTGCTGCTTTGTTAGGAATGAGTCCAGTGGGGACAACTAGATATGCTGGAGTAAGGACTTCATCTATCCCCAAAGTGAATTAACTGCATCTGAGTGATTTTTTTTTCTATTGGGCTCTCTAGACACTGTGTCTAGAACTTATGGATTCTTCAGGGTCTATTAAAATTTTTGGAATACAAAAATTGATTGACAACTAAATTGCAAAGTGCAAAATAAAATTTAAGAAATGCTTAATTTAAATATCTATGAAATTGATAGATATTTAGCCATCCTATCTAACAAAAGAGAAACATGCATATTGACCATACCTCTGCTACGCTTACAAGCTGCACCCACCAGCCAATCAGAAGCAAGTATGCAAATTAACTGAAGATGGTGGTTAATTTGCATATCCAGACAGCAGAGTGAAGACTGAAGACAGCACAGAAGGAAACCAAGCGCTGCAGAAGGGTGCGAAGCTGCAGCAGAGAAGGGAGGGAAGCTGGCAGGGCGGCAGAAATGCCCGCACAAAGCCCTGTTCTTGAAGGAATCTTCCTGCAACGGGCCTCTAGTAATAAAATAATATCTCATTGCATTAAAATTAAGTGAAAATTACTTTCCTTTAGGAAGGCTTATTAAAATGGGCTGTATTCTTGTGATACAACATGCCTCGTATGCCATGAGCTTTTGTTGCTGTTGTTGGATAGTTGTTTTGGTGTTTTATTTGTTGTTGAGTAATAAACCAAACAACCATGTCATTATATCTCATGATTCTCTCAAGTGGTTGTAATCAGATGGCAACTGGGGCTGTATGGCTGTCACCTCGATATTCCCTCATGTGGCCTCTCTCTGTGGTGGCATCTCATCTTTCAGGGTCTCCCCGGGTGGCCCGTTCTCCAGCAGCGAAGTCTATACTTCTTTCCTCGAAGCCCAGGTCTCTGATAGGTACAACGCAGAAGCTGTTAGAACTTTTTTTTTGTTTGACTGTTTGCTTGTTTGCTTTTGTTAATCCTCACCTGTGGATATTTTCTCCATTGATTTGTTTAGGGAGAGTGGAAGAGAAGAGGAGAGGCACAGAGAGAGAAACATTAATGTGAGAGAGACACATCAATTGGTTGTCTCCCACACGCATCTGACTGGGCCAGGGATCGAGCCTGCAGTGGAGCTAGATATATTCCCTTGACCGGAATCAAACCTGTGACCTTGCAGTCCAGGGTCTGACGCTCTAAGCACTGAGTCAGACCTGCTAGAGCAAGGACTTTCTTGATAATGGGCTTGAAGTCCCCTTAAGTTGCTTCCTCCAAAGCCTACTGGTCAAAGCAGTCCCAGGCTCAGCCCAGATATAAGGGGAGGGGCCATTCCTCCCCTTCTTACTGGGAGGATGAACATGCCCACCCAGGAAGGGGTGGAATTATGTTTTTTTTTTTTAAATATTTAATTTTTTTCTATATTTATTTTCTATGGCCACTTTAACAAATACCACAGACCTAATGGCTTAAAGCAGCACAAATTCATTTTCTGGCAGTTCTGTAGCTCAGACATTAATACAGGCCCCAATGAGCTAAAATCAAGGTGTCACATGGTGGCATTCCTTTCTGGAGGTTCTTCTTCTTGCCTTTTCCAGCTTTTAGAAGCTGTCTGAAGTCCTAGGCTTTGGCCCTTTTCCTCCATCTTCAAAGGCAACAACATCTGATCTTTCTTGTGTTGTCATCAGATTCTCTCTTTTATTTTCCTCTTCTGCTTTTAAGGACCCTTGTGATTATATTGGGTCCTCCTTATTTTAAGGTCTTCTGATTAGCAGACTTAATTCCAACTGCAACCTTCATTCCCGTTACCATGTAACCTGGCCTACACAGCTTCTTGTTATCAGGACACAGATATTTTTGGGATAGGGAGGAGGAAGGCATTTTGTGTGTGTGTGTGTGTGTGTGTGTGTGGTGTGTGTGTGTGTGTGTGTGTACCATAGTTGCCACCTTGGAAACTAGCTACCTCATTGCTTCACTGAGCACCAGTGATGACTGTGACTTATGCCTTTGAATTGTCCATACTTTTTTTTTTGTTTTTTTGTTTAAAGTATTACAAATAGTAGTACACATGTCTCCCTTTTCCCTCCCAATTGTGAATTGTCTATATTTGGATGGTAAAGGCAGAGAAATGGAATTTCAGTTTATTGATAACCTGAGTCAGGTGTTGGATTTACTCAGATATAATGTGGTACTCTAAGGTCTGAGTAGTTGCCACTGTATTTATGATGTGAATGCCATCTTTTGGTAAAGGGTACCAAACAAAAATTAACCCAAATGTTGTCATGATAATAACAGCTAACCATGATATAGAGAATGGCCATTTATTAAGTCAGGATTCCTTAGAATCCGTGTAAATAATATTGATCCTAGAGGTGATCATTTTATCCACTGTGGAATATATCAATGATAATTCCTGCCTTTCCAGAATGAAGTAAGGCTGTACCCAGGCGTTGCCAGCAAACACCTGTGTAGCCTTTAGCACCTTACTTTGCCTCTGAGTCTTGGTTCTCTTGTAAAGAAAAACTATCATTTAAAACTTAAGGATTTATTTCCTTGTCTTTAAAGTTGTAGACATAATAAATATGTAACACTTAGGAATAAGACTTTGTTAAGGAAGAAAGTTTTAGGAGTCCTGCCTACTTGAACTTCTTTAGGGGGGAAAAATCCTATAAAGTTACAATGGCAAAGTAACAAACAGCACCACCATGCACTTTTGTTTAGTTACCTGATCCCAAATCTTGTCCAGCCCAGGTTTTAGTTTGTGTGTCGGTTTTTTTGTTTGTTTGTCTTTACCCATTATCCGATCAGTTTGAATTCATTTTAACTCTTTTTGTACCCAAGAAAGCTATAATTAATTCAATTACTGAGGAGATAGAGATCCTCCTGTCTGCTTCTCCTTATTTACTTAACTAGTTTAAGACTAACCACATTTACTGAGGGCCTCCATAGTCTTAACATGACCAGATATCTGTGTCTTAACCCGGGGACAGGGTGTGAAGGAGTGGCCATGACCCCTGCCTGTGGCGATAGGCCCTGTGAGGGCCAGATCCCGGTCTTTTCCTCCAAGGCTGCTGCCCTAGTGCCCTCTGTGCTGCCCCTCAGGTATCCTGGGGCCTTGGAATAATGGATGGATGTCCTCCTAGAGCTGACAGTCTAGTAGGGGAGGTTGCTGTTAAACAAACACAAGAAAACTTTAGGCAGAGCCAGCCATCTGTTCATCAGTTCCTAATCTCTCCATCATTTCATTGGATCTTTGCTTTTCTGGCTTCTGCATGT